GATACAAAGGTCTGTGCCAAACGCGAACATCAATATGCTATTTCGGACGAGTGAAAACATCATGTCCACTTAAGATATAAATAATTCGATAGTTTCATCATAAAACTGATAAAACTTACATAACTTTATTACAATTATTGTCATAAAACTACTACAAGTACAGTTGATTCGGCGGAATATTATCCCGAAAAAGCGGAGTAAATTTATATTATTTCCTTAATACTGCGACTGTTCAATAAAAAATAGCAGGCTTCGATTAGTCCGGTTTGAAAATTTCAAAACAAACTAAATTTTAAGAAGCGTGAAAACTCAGTATAAAAATACAATATAAAATTGTTTTAAAATTAAAAAAATGGCATAAAATTCCCAAAATCCTGATCCTTCTCCAGAAATCATCTCCGAAATTCCATTCTCCTCCACGGTTATTCAGAACTCCCCAAAATCAAAATAACACCTTACAAATACTCCCTTCCACCCTTCATCCTTCGATTATTAAAAAAGAAACTACAACTCTATATCTATATTTTTCCCATATTCTTCTGTGTTCATTGTATAAATTTATTAAATTTATGTTCCCGGGCGGAAAGACCTCGGTCGTTAGCCCTTTGGCCAGCCTATTAATATATTTTTTTTTTTATTGTATGTTAAAATTTATTTATATATAAATTGTACTTTTTTTTCTTCTTCTTAAGTATTGATATTTGGCCAATAAATTTTTATTATTATTATTGTCATAAAATTATTAGAAACAGTAAGAAAAGAAAAAGTTAGTTGAATCGTCACAAACTAGAAACCGCCTCGTTTAACGTTGTTTCGTTAATTAAAGCACTCTATACTTGGTTTTACTGTATGTAAATTTGAATAAAGACATTTGTAACATTTTAAAAACCATTATTTTCCAACAAATCCGAATTACATAATTTACAAATAACATACTAAGAATAGATTGTCGATTTGAAATTAACACATTTGTTTTGTTGTTTTTTTTTTAATTCCAATTTAATATTTCACCGAACGACCGGAAAATTTGTTTTACGTGTTTGTAAATTGAGTAACCGTAAATGTAATTACAAGTACGTTTATTTATTTATTTTTATTTCCCTTTGGTAATCATTGCATACACACAATGACTAATAAAATTTATAATATTATCTTATTTATTGTACATTTGTTTGCAGAAATGAAGTAAGTAATAAATAAAATGCAATGAATATTTTAATAATGTTAGAAATTGGCTATCAACCATTTTTTCTATTTTATATAAGTAATATTATATTAGTAATGATGCAAAATTTGGAATCACCCATTCAAATTGCTTAACTTTTAGAAGATGTAAAATATCATTTATAAATTGTGTAATTATAAAAAATTTCTAAAATCAACTTTTGTTCAAGCATTATATTATTAGTCTCAATTCAAGATCACACATTCAAATTGATTAACTTTCGTAAATATATACGTTTAATGGAAATCTACACTTTTGTGAAGATGTACATAGTAATATATGAGAAGTTGCATTAATTTGAAACTACGTTACGAGAAACCTCTAAAGTATAGATAGAAAACAAAAATATGTTTATTAACTATTTGATTATAAATTATGTGGAACAACCAGGAAGTTCAACATAGAAGTTTCAGTCGAGAAGCTTTAGAAAAAAGCATGAATTCTCAACAGTAAATTACAAAGAAGAGGATACGTGAAGACCTCCAAAAAGGAAACATCAGTGCATGCTCTCAAAACTAGTTGCAAAGATCTATATAATGCATTATTAACTAACGACGATAATTTACTTCCTCAATTCTAAATGATAATAAAAAAAAACAAAACAAAAAAAAAATCAGTAAGTTTGTTAAGATATTAATTATTAAGTAATTAATAAAATTTTATATACATATATTTATTGTTACTATAATAAATGATTAGTTTTAATAATTGGTTATGTAACAGAATATTTCTTGAGTACAACAAAATTATGATTTCCGTATACAGATTGTTAGAGTTACAGTTAATAAGGAGATTATCCAATATGTAAATGATTTACTAATTAATTTTAGACGTAAGAAAATTATTCGTGGACTGGATAATACAAAATTCCTCTCGAGAAACGCGTGCAGGCAGAGCTGTTACATCACTTACGGAGTGGCGTAACTGTAACGATTTCAAGTGGAGCAGTTGAAGTCCGATTTATTGGAACGTTTATCTGTAGTTCCCGTCTTGAAGGATAAAATGCCTAATTGCATCGCTAATTAAATTAGTAATCGCGCTATAAGCAAGTTCATTTCATTATTTGATGTATTCAATGAAAGAGGAATCCTTGGACACCAAAAATGTAATGAATTGTAGAATATAATGAAGATCTTCGCGTGGAGGCTAATTAATGTCAGTGTTTTATCACCTTTGTAATTAATTAAATCCCACATTCATTAAGTTAATTTTAACACAAACGATTGTTTTTAAATTATTTAATTGTTTGTGTAATTCTACTCGTTACTTGACAACTATAATGTGTCAAACTGGACAACTAATAGTCATTACATTTTTCATTCCCGTGGACAACATTACGTATTACTTGACAAGTAACTTATATTACTTAACAAGTAAGTTATAAAGAATCATTATTTGCCATGTATTGTAAATGTGCGTAACAAGACAACAAATTTACTTGACAAGTAATTTTCTGTAGATACTTACAATTTATTTACAACTTCAGGTCAAGTTAAGGTTGTGTAAGTAGTAATAATTATACACAAATAAATGATGCATGAATTAATGGAAAAATAAAGATAATTTGTGATCAATGTTACATAACTGATAGGATGATACGCTGAGTGCGGGCATTGAATTAATAACCGGTTTTCAATATAAAGAATTAATGAAAACATTTTATTAATTATTTTATTTTATTGAGTTGTAAATTTTCTTTTTATTGTTTAATTACAAATTGCTATTGTAATTATCAAGAAAATAAAAATTAACTATGTAGCTGTAAAAGTGCGTAATACCGGTCTCCACGAATAGAAATGTATTTGCGGATCGTGTAAATTTTGTTTGGGGTCCTGAAGTTTCAGTTTTTAATAATATTTCATATTTTTAATAATCCTATATTTATTTAAACATTTTTTATTGGCTTCAAATTGTGTTATCGAACAAAATCTTTTTGCTTTCTGAGAAAAGAAAAAAAATGTATTAATTAATTAATTCCATTCAATCTGTGGTGATTGTTTTGAATTAAATTATGTAAAAGTAGTGCATACATATGTGTACAACAGCTGTATTTTTTTTAATTAATCAACGGAAATGATTAACAAAGGAAAACAAATAAATATGTACACATTCTTGGAATTGTCCTAGTCAGATCCATGACGGTACTTTTTAACGTGCACAGGAATCGAATCTCGGAAATACCGACAATAGCACGAACAGGTGTTTAGACAACAGCTCTTGTTTACATAACACCTCGTCGCTTTATTATGAATTGATTATATTTTTAATTTGCATTCGTTAAGAAATAGAATACACGATCACCACACACATTCATTTTTACTGATATTGCGAAATCGAATATCATTTGTAATAGTTCGAAGGATGTAAATTATCAAATGTTGAATATAAAAATTAAATTTCCCGGGAAATACCGGGACTATAATCGGGACTATAGTCTATCAATGTGTTAGTAAAATAAAAGTATTTGGTAAAAATTTAGAAATGTCCAAAGTGGACAAAATAGATTTTGTTTTTACTGCTATATTCATTATATATTAGTAATTTTAGTAGTTTCAATTTGATTTGTTATTTTGTAGACAAGTTACTTTTAGAATATTTAAATATAAAATCCTCAATAGAGATTTTACATCTACAAATCCAAATAGTCATCACTCGAAACAGTATTGAAAGTGGACAAAATAGGATAGAATCGTGTAGCGATTAAGTATACATATGCACTTGGCAACATAATAGCTTTTGTTTTTCCTGCCGTTAAGCCTATTGAAACTAACAGACCATTCTCATGACATGCAAATTGTTTTAAACTGTTGTTGTGCTCGGTTGTCATGCATTATTGCTGTAGTTTCCGCAACAGTTTGGTATAGATTATTTCCGATCAGTGAAACGGCCGACTGCCAGGAACAAACGTTTTCGCAGCGAGAAAATTATTTCGTCCGTGATTAAATGTTAATACTACTGATTTCAGATTGATTCGACAATTAAGGGAACACTAATCGAATTGTCTGTTTTGTACAAGGTACCAAATATCTGTTTAATAAATTACAAAAAAAACAGCATCTAAAAATGAAAACATTTTTTTGGAGATTACCACAAATCAAACTAAAAATTCAATCAATTTTATAAATTATTTTGAATTAGCTTAAGATTTATTAATCAAAATAATTAAATTAATATTCTGATACTGTTAGAATGTTTTAACATTAAATTAGTAAAAATTCATAATAATTTGTTTCTTCTTTTGAAATCGATCATTCTGGAGCATTTGTCAGAAATGTTGTAAAAGTACTTATAATTTAGGAGAGGTACAAAACATAAAGTTTCGGGCGACGTAACAGGGCCGAACTTCTCGAAATCCTTGTTCGTCGACTTAAAGTAAACCATTCGAAAGTTGGCAATATTGAATTCAGAGGACAAATTAAATTAGGACGATGCCTTCGTTCGCCCTGCGTGTTTTACTTTTTCGCTTGTTTTCTCCGTTTATTTTTGTTCCGCTTAGTTTTCACTCTTTAATCGCATTAAAAAAAAAGGCGGTTTCTGTTATGTCACAAAGTCTAGGAAGCAAAGACCCTACCGATCAATGCCAAAATTGTAAAAAAAATATTATAAAATGGTTATTAAAAGGCAAAGTTGAATTGTTGATGATAATAACAAATCAAAATATTTGTTTGCTAGATCGTAAATCAAAGCTTATTGCCATTACACTCAAAACATCTGTTTACCAAATTGTTGGTACCTACCTTATACCTGATCATGTAAAGGTCCTATACTTTATTACCTATCATAATGAGGGTTCCGGCTGTAGTGGAGTCCATCTGAAGCACGATTTGGAAATAGAAGAGCGTGTAGGAGAACCACACGGAGGCGCAGAGATCATTATATACGTGACCTAGACCATAGCAGAGTTTCTGCGATGGTCTGCAACGATTCCTCGCGACGGTGCCGCCCTGTCCATGAAGCAAACCCGTTTCTTCATTCATCTCGTTTCCAAGAAAGCTCACCTGCAAAAGATGCAACGAAAAAAGAAATAAGTAATGCGTATATATCTATGGATGCACGCGCAGAAAGATTCTAGAAATCCGAACAGTGGCTTCAAAAGAAAAAGGAAAGAAATGGAAAAGGTAACGAATAAATGAAAATAAAGTAAGTGGAAAGGAACAAAACGAGTGTATAATAATTAGCACTCGTGTCGTACGCAGAGACAATACGTGGAAATCGTTTTCACCAGTTTCGCTAATTAACAATTCCAGCGAATGTATTATATTATGTCCTTCGATGTACCAAAAAATAAATAAATGGAATAAGCTTGAATATCAACAGTGGCGTCACGTTCATAGAGGGGCTGCAGTGATGCAGCCCTTACAAACGAATAAATTGTAAAATACATTGTTATGATAATATGGTAACTATAGAAGGTATTATGGGAGGGTTGACTAATTGGACACATTACTTATAAGATTATAGTTATGCTGTAATTTTAAAAATATGGTTAAATAATCGTTCCAATCAAAGCAACTAGTATCCCTAAACGGACCAATCTTTTTTGTACAATTTAATTAAAAGTTCACAAGTGTGACATTTCGTGCACTGTAACATGTTTTCTTTTCTTAGTTTCTTCTCATAATAGACTTTTACTTCAACTGGTCCAATTCAGGCAATTAATTGTACTCCGAACTGGACAACTGTTGTAAATTGAACATTTTCACGCAATATTACTTCTTCACATAAAATACAAAAACATGTAATATGGAATATTTTCAGAGAACTTTACAAATTATTAAAACCCGTCACTGTATTAATAATAACGTTCTGCGAATATCTGAAAAAATAAACAGATGTTTACAAGCCGCTTTGTGCTTTATATGCAATTAAAAAGTATAACGAATCAGTTCGATCTGCCTGGCCAATACATATTTTTAATTTACTTTGATGTGAGAGCTCAAACGTATTTGTATCATATTTTGCGCTGTAACAAATGTGTTTCATTGATTGACCATTTTTCATTTAACTGAAAGGTTTGTTGTTGTGCAAATTGAGTATTGAAAATGGGTCATAATAGACGTATCGACGAACATTTTAATACTATTAGTATACATAAATGAAAACAATTCAATCAATAATATATAAGGTGACAAATTTGAATATTCCGCCTTATTATATAATTAAACAACTTATATTTTAGTATATTATCTTCTGTGTTTTGAGTAATGAATTATGTCAATATACAAAGCTAAAAGTTTCACTTGATATATTACGTAATAACAATTATAACAAAAAAAAATTAAAGGAAACTGTGTTAATGACAAATTCATATTCGGAGAAGGACGAATGTTCTTTTGTTTTTCTTCTAAAAGATATGCAAAACATGACACTTTCAGTAACTTGGTGGAACGAACAAAAGAATAACTTTTTCAGTCACCTCAAGTTTCCATGGAAATATCCTCATCTTTATCGTTCAGAACAGAGTAAAAGTTTTCCCTTAACAAGATTTATTTAAAAAAAAAGATCATATTTCATATCGTTAGTAATTTTTTGAAAATTGTGAAAAAAAATATCTTTTTTGTTAATAACTGTTTCATTTTATTAATTATAGGAGCTAATTATGATTATTAATGATGTTTGAAATTTTGATAGAGAAAAAAATAATTTGTGTTCCTTGGTTTATTTTTTGTTTATATTTAGTACCTCGATTAGTCCGATTTCAAACAGTGCGGAATATTGGGGAAGTTATTGCTGTATTTCATTAATAATTATTAACGAAAAATGTCGTATGATTAATTTATAAAACTGACAACGTAAACAGAATGATTCTATTTATATAATAATTACAATTGAACCGTTCCAAGCAACAGGAATGTGTACATCTAATTAAATAATAAATATAATAATAAGAGTCCTTTGAAAGTGCATCAACAATAAATGAACAATAGCTTCATTCAAATTGTTCCATTCATTCAATGGTATGGGAATGCTACAGAGGAAATCTACGTTTCAATTTCGATTCTATTACGACGGAATGCAAGGTAAACTATTTTTGTTTGCGCTTTTGCTTACAATTTCAGTTCACATAACGTTATCTGCAATTGTTTGGATCTTCTCTCAACGACAGCAAATCTTATTATTCCGCGCAATACTCAATGATGACAGCAATCGAATTCACGCAATTCTATTTGCAGCACTTTCTTAGATTATTTATCATATCTGAACATCGTTGTGTAACATATACAGATCATCATCACAATTTCGCTGATGTTGTTTATATTGTGACACACATCATCCATTAAAAGTACATTTCAGCTACTTTTTTTCTTCATCATCAAAAAATTACTTACATAATTTCATATTCTCAAAACAATTTCCGCACTATTTGAAACTGGACTATTCGTGTCTTTAAAACTGCATTAATATAAACAGCACAAAGAGAGATTTGAATAAAAAAAAAACATTCAAAATATTTTTGTATACTTAAAAATAATATTTCTTTGTCCAATAATAAATATTTTTTGTAAATACATGTTTCATTGATTATTAATAAAATCAAACAATACCTGTTCCGGATTATTTGAAACCGGACTAATCGATGACTTTAAAACAGCATAAAAAATTAGAATTTTAAACCGCACTATTCAAGGTATTGTTGTATAATTTAATTTGTAAATTTCAAATTTAAATTGAAAACATATTTGTTTTTACTGTTGTAAAATCAAATGAAAATATGTAACTTTCAGTAGGTCGAAACACTTCACACTAAATATTTGGTGGTGTTGTTTCAACGTTCCGAATTTTTGTGGTTTTAATTGAAAAATTAACAAAAAATATATATTAAAACAAAAGTAACAAACGAAACGAACGAACGTGTAAAAATAAACGAAAATCAAATATGGGATTTTTTGATGCGCTATACACTCTTCATATGTGGCAAAAATAGTGTAATAATGGAAATTAATTTTTCATCAGGCTTACATTGTATGGTTCGCACTCCGCTGAAACATGAATATTTCTGACAGTTTTTTTTTCTGATAGATATGCACGTTAATGAATGATTCATTAGAGTGATTTGTGTCACAATAAAATTATAATGTCGAATATGTTTTATTATTACTTTTATACATAATATTTCCAACAGGTGAAATTACATAAAATGTGCATTGAAAATATCGCAAATAAATTGAAAAAATTTCTTCTGTTCTCGAATAAAATAAATTTTCGAACAAAAAACAAATGATTATAACAAATAAATATAAAATTGATGACTGAAATGACTCGATTTAAAAAAAATGTTTTTTTTTTTCAATTAATTTTTATAAAATTTTTGTATTTCATACAAATTATTGAATTATTTATTTGTTGAATACATAAAAAAGCTGTTGTACTCAACATATTTATTATTTAATTGTTTTTGGTAATTAAGAAAACTGATCAGAAAATATTATGAATGAAAATTTATATTTTATAAAAATTCTGATAGGATTACAGTTTACATGTTGAAATTGTAAATATTTAATAATGATATACATGAAAATATTTTATTAAAAAAAAATCTTCTTTACAATTTTTTTTTGTAAGAATATTTTTTCTTTAAGTCTAAAGCATTTATGCAATTATTTAAACAAGAACCGTTTATATTTCTTGCAAAAAAATATAAACACAAGATGATGGATTCAGAGATAATAGTTCTCATGGTAATGACTGCAAAAAGCTTCATCTAATAATGTTCACTTTGCAAAAACTAAACGGTAAACGTATACTGTTATACTCACTTTCTTCCTACTACAATTTAATTGTAATTATGAAGTTTTTCATTGGAAATAAACAATTACAGTTTCAACATATTGTTGATACTCTCAATCTTATATATTTATGAATTAACATTATCTTATTAATTATAAAAGTTCACTGTACATTTTTGTTAAAATTACGTAACAACCGTTATATTAAAAAAATAAATTATAAAAAGCTTAGGTATTCTATAGAACGATTACTAGCGGTACTTTTGTTGAAAATTTGCGACACTGAGTTAAAGTTTTCACTTAATAATATTTATTTCAAAAAAAAATATCATGTTTCATATTATTAGTAATTTTTTGAAAATTGTGAAAAAAAAAACAAAAACATCTTATCTTTATTTTTCATAACTGATATAAAATTATTAATGAATAGGATTTAATTATTTAATATATAGGTAATTCATGAATGAAGTTTTAAATTTTGATTCAGAAAAATAAAAGAAAGAAATTGTGGACAAAATTATTTTTTCATACAAATATTTTGTGTTTTTGTTTATTTTTTGTTTGTATTTAGTTCCTCGATTAGTCCAGTATTAAATTTGAAAATTTTCCGCTCCCAGTGGCTATGGTGCATTTCTAATACCATCCTTTAAACACATTGCTTAACTTTCTTAAATTACTAAGTACATTTGTTAGCATAATTCTTTGAGCCAATTTTTAATATTTTATTTAATAAATTATAACACAATTAAAAATTTGTATAAGTACTACATAATAGAAAATGATGTAAATTCTGGTACAATAAATATGTAAGGATAAGGCGCGGTCCATCCATGGATGCGACTCAAGAACAGCATCCACGCACATGGGGAATAGGATTTGTCCCTAATAAGCGGGTGACCCGTTTAACCGGTGTCCCAATTAAACAGAATATACTTAAAACAAAACGTTTAAGCTATATTTAGTTACATTCCTTCGTTTTTTTACTATACAACTTATGGATGTACGTGAACTGTTTATTTTGATCAGACTACTTTCTCAACGCAAATATTTATATATGTGTCATTCAGCAAATGAATGCCGACTTCATTGAGAAACTCGGGAAGCAGTAATTACAGCTAATTAATGTGTGCTATGCGAGTTTCTTCTCTTCAACCATTTTGAGCGATCCTTGCAGAAAAAAATAAATACATCATCATCCACAACCGCTGATCTATTCATTTTAATTCCAAATATTTGTCACAAAGAGTGATTTATATTATTAATCCGTCAGTTATAGTTCGTATATTTTTCATAGTATTTTTTTATACATTCAATTTTTACTTTTAATGAAGCTCGTGCAAATACATATTTCATGGATAATTTAATTACGCGCGCGAATTGAACGCGTGTGTTTGCTTTATTTATTTATTTTTGTTTTATATTTTTTTATGTGTTATACTGTATGTATTCAGTAGGGAGCAAATATATTGCAATCCGAAGCGAAAAAGAATTATCGAATCGGTTAATTTAATTAAATTGGGAAAAACATACATTTTCTGGTTACAGGAAAATTCATTTACAAAAAAAATGTAGGAGATACGTTTTAGAGATCATGTTGAAACGATATATTTTGTAGTGCAATTGTTGGTGTCTCACTTTGGTGAATGTAACAAGAAATCGATACCAGCGGAAGCAAATCTGCCTTTCGATGATCGTTTTTGCAATATCTTGTTACATAACATTAGAGTGTATCAGTTTCTTGTGTATATTGAATCTGATAATTGACGGTCAAACAGGTTGTTTCAACTAAATGTTATAATTAAAATATTTAAAAAAATTTATAGCATTAAGTGTACTGATCTAAAAATGTTATTAATGAAAATTTGTAAAAGTAAAGATATTTAGTAAAATTGTATTAGCATTAATAATCTCATACATTTACTATCATATATAACTTATATAACAATAGTGTTAATACTGTCAGTAGAAACTAAGCTATTTTTTCTGGAGTATCAAAAACTAATATTTTGTAAATTATGAAAAAAAATAGTAAATTTCTACCAGTTCTAGTTAAAAAAAAAATCATAGTACAATTTGTGTACGTAATATGTACGTTAACTGACTACTATATATAGAAGTTATATACAAAGCATACTTCAATTATTTCAGGAGTTAATCGGTTCTTTATGTCTTTCGAAAGTACGTACTTAACGTTGTTACAAACGTAAACTTTGACTTTATCATAAGCATATACAAATTTTAATTTAATTCTTGTGTACAACTAGAACAAAAATATACAAATCGTTTCCCAATTCGTTCAGTGAAACCTGTAAAACTGAAATTGAAAAATACGATTTTTTTTTCAAATTTTGTTTTTGTTTTATTCGAATCTTTATAAAAGCACTTGTTTAATCATAAAAATGTTTTTTTATTTATTATTCAATATTACCTACTGTTAAAAATACATCTAGCTTCAATTCACAGTAGTTGCTTCCAACAGTTTTAATCGTCGAAAGACAAAAATTTAAAAATTAATGATTCCATTTGGAATCACTGGGCTGGAAAGGGTTAATAACTTGTTTAAAATATTTTTAATAAATTGTATAATTAAATTAATGAAATAATTTTAGTAATTATATAATTTCTTGATTTAAATTGAATGCTGTATAAAATATGAATATTAAATTTTCATAGTTTAATGACGTATAAGTACGTATATATGTATTATTATGAAAAGTCTGAAGAATAAAAGGGGGTCAAAATCCCGAAATTAAATGAAAGACAAGATATAATACTTTGGGACAAATTCAAGAACAATGACGCCAATTGGACTATCTAGTATGATCTGTGCACAAAGCGTAACGCGAGGCACTCGAATAGAAAACAACCGACATTAGCATTATATGAGACATACAAAGGCAATTTTTTGTTATAGTTGTCTACATAAATCTAACGTACTAGCCTTTTCTATCCAGGTCAAAAAGACCTATGCTTCACGTAACTAACACGCACGGAATTTATTTCATTTATATCCCTCGTAGATAAGTTCAGTTCGAGTATCTCTATTGCTTACACTTATGTATATCAGCAATCTGCAATACGCCCATAGGTGCATAATATTTTTGTACGGATTTCGTAACCAATAGGCGCCAAATTGTTTTATTATTAAATCTCAACTATTTATTTTAAACAAGTATTAAAGGGAAATCTTATATAATCATCGTATTGATCCGACTGTCATCATTGTACGTATGTTCGAATTAACGTACACATATTATCAAGCATAGGTTAATAAGATTTACGTTGTTAGCGCTGTATAAATCAAGTACGTATTATCGAACGTATGATAAGCTTTTGTCTCTCTCAACCAAAAACCAAATTTTATTAAATTTCATCCTCTTAATATAATTGAACTTCTGTATATTTTTGTTTACTAACATTCAGTCTCTCGATAATTGAACTTTGTTAATTGAGTGAGTGAGTATTCAATCGAGTGGTAGACAAAACATCATTCATGTCGCCTAGTTATATTTATACGTGAAAACAATAATACGCGTTGCAAGTTTGTGCGAATATCATGGGAGTTAATGGGTTTGGATCATGTTCTCGTTTTTGTTTTTACGTCCTATTTCCGTACATTGGCAAATGTGCAAGTGAATAAATGCAAGTGACTATGTGGGTTTCACATGACGGTTGTCAAACGAAAACAATCCGCAAGAAGCTGAACGGCGTTTATTTTTACTCCGGTTATTCCACATTTCATTCTCTTATTATTATTATTTTTCCATCTTATCATCCGCTTTATCCACACTTCAACGTAAACATAATCATTTTACGTGCTTTCATAAACATTGCAATATAAGTCTGAAGTAAATATACATCAAATTAAAGAACATTTTTTTAGCAGAAACACTTCAGTCTTAAAGACATAAAACAAAATTTAAAGTAAATAATTAATAGATTAATAGTAAATAAAGAAATATTTAAAAAAATTAATAATAAACGAATTTGTACAAATCTTGCATTTAAAATTTGCAAAAAAATATATAAAAGTTGTCCTTAGAGAGATATAATCATTGCGCGATAATATCTTAAAAAGAAATACCCAAGTACAAGCACCGCATTGCATAGAAAGTATGTAATTTAGGTAAAATTTAATTTTAGAGATGAAAATCTGTGACTGTAATCTTGTAATTAAAAAAAAAGTTTACTTTATTAGTAAAAAATAGGATTAAATGAACTAATTACATATTTATTACACTAAAATCGAATGTATACAAAAAATATAATAGTTTAATATCCAATTAACTTAGATTTTGGGCCACAGAGAATATTTTTTTGTAGAAATAAGTTATAATGCTTTGGGTATTAAATAGTATGGGAGTAATAACTAGAGATTAAGTCGCTTCTTCTCTTCAATGTCCAACTCGAAATGTCTGCAAATCCCACTTCTATTTGCTTCCGCAAACGGAGATTACACCCTAATCCCAAAAAGACCAAACTTACGAACACGGACCACTAAATCGTATCCCACTAGTCCTCACATTGCGCACGATTTATCATTTAATGTACATTATCCTGGGAACGTGCAGCTACTCAATTTAAATTGATCTAAAAACATTTTCAACTAGACGTTCAAACTAATGTAAATTTTGTCTTCGAATAAAGGTATCAAGTGGTAAATTAAACTCATATACACAATATTTCCGATCAAATTATACGTTTTTACAGATATTTACGTTAGTTCGAATATAATACTGGAAATAATCATGTACGTATTATATATTCCTTATCAATTACGTTAATTCAAACAGAATGTTGTACGTATTATCGAACGTGAATAAGGTTTTATTAAAAATCGTTTAATTTACTATAATTCTCATTTCCTGATACATCATGTAATTTAAACCAAAATCCAGGAGTTCTGTTAATTACTAATTGTAAATAGATTAGACCTCAATTTACTCAACTAATCATCAAATTTGAAGTAGATCAATACGTTCGACGATACGCAATCGGTGCTGTGTACAGACCAATTGAAAATAATCACTTGCTTGAAAGTTGTTTGTTGAAATATGGAGTATCGAGGTATATAAAATGGTTTTGAGGATAACGATGTCTTGTGTGCTACCGCGTTGTGTTGCATCTCTTTCGGCAACAAATATACCCTATGAATATTTCACGTTTAATGATCGACCATTATGTAGGTCGCTCATGCAGAATTACTGGCATCTCGTTCATAATCCTCCTCTTCATCTTTGCATATCCATATTCAAATTTTACCTTTTTCATCGAACTCGTCTCGCGCATTTGAAATTTTCATGCAATTATCGACAAAACCTTCTAAATATTTTAACATTACCTTCACCTGAATACATGAATGAATTTTTATAGAAAACTCAATTGATTTCTACATTTATTTTATTTTCATTTAATCTAGATTTATCGAATGTTTCCAACAATTACATCACGCGAAAATCTTTACGAAAGTGAAAAACTTTCTTTTATTTCTATTACCTTCACTTCCTACCACTTAAGTCTTTCATTTATTGTAAATAAATGAATGCGTCAGTTTTCTTGTCTACAATCAGTTCTCTCGTTGAATATCTATGTTTACTGGATATAAACCGGAATGTTGTGGGTCTTAAAATTTACATACCGGACTATTTTCATCAGAACTAGTTTGGTATTATTCAGAGCGTGCGTTTTGCAAGGCACAACCATCCGAGCATCTCTGTTGGCTTAATCAAGCTGAAAACGCAAGGATTTAGCGTACTCTGTGACCGTAAAAACTATGACGGAACAAGGCGCCAGGATTCGTCGAAGGAATTGACGCGGACAGGGACAAATCCTTCTGTTGGGATCGTAAGGAAACACCTGACACGTGAAAATAAAATCGAACGCGAGGATGGCGCCTCGAGGCACATCTACCATACGGCTAGAGCCTACGACCTATGACAACGTCGACCTTGAACCGGATTACACAAAGCTGCTACGAATCTTGCGATGCAAATATAGCAGTTGACGTGGCACCTATTAATAAGTCGAAAGTACTTATCGCACTATTTTATTTATTCTGCACAAACATCAAGATTATTGATTACCTCATAAAATCATAATTAATTTACTAAAATTTTACAATTACTATCTATAAGTAGTTTTGTTTGCACTTAAGTGTACTATCTCAAATATGATTTACAAACCAAAAAACGTAGTATAAGTAGTTAGCATGCATTTATGCATTTTGTTTAATTAATACAATTAATTATGATAATCAATTATATAATTAATTTTACTTATAATTAAACTAAACTTATGTGTTCCCATAAAAAACCATTGTACAAAAATATGTAACTCATTTTACTATATATTCAAATTAAAAAATCCTAATAAAATTTTTGATTATTTTCTTTATATTCATTTTTAATTGGCTTAATTAAATAAGTTTACTTATTTTTCAAGGTTGAGTTACAGTTTAAAGCGCTTTGTATATGTTTCTTCATGTACTCAGGAAATATTAATCATGATTTTTATTTTATTTAAGTTAGCCACAATATGTGGAATCTCCAAAAGAAACTGACAAATTTTCTCACCACAGATAAAGAAAAGAAGAATAAAAATTGTATCTATATTTAATCAATTTGTGGAGTTTATTTTTGTGGTTGTTTCTAGAAATAAATTTTGTTATTATTTTTAGATTTTATTATTTTGTATATGATTTTACGTACGAATTACTTACGAATTTGGGATTCGAGAACGGGTTATGAAATTCGGTTTTCGAACAATTTTTAATGATGAATTACGTTAGATTTCTTCTTATGCTTTGTAAAATACAAGATAAATATTTGTCTTTATTTCCTACAAAATTAGTTAAGTAAAACCGAAAGTTATAACATATGAAATTATGATTTACATTAACAGTTTTCATTGAAATCGACGTTACAATGTTAAAATTTTCCAAATAAATAAATTTAATAAGTCAGCTATAAAATCCCTAAAGCGTTTGTTTATTGTGTAAGCATTAAAAGTTTCGTAATTAAAACCCACAAACGTTTTATAATTTTACAGATCGTTTACGATTTGAACATTATTATAATCAAAATTGCGAACCTTCGTCAAGGCGACTTCATTCATTAATTTCAAGCAAAATTACATAACTTTCGGTTACAATTTTGTTTTTTTTGGCTTACGATTGGGTCGCCTCTTTGCCAGGATTTTGTTAATTATTTGCTTGAATCATTTAGCGTCGAGCTACGCTCCTTTTGGCTACCAGACATCAGTTCGTTTATAATTAAAACTCGTTATTAAGCCTGATAAATATTTAATCTAAAGTTACGTAATTGCGCACGTAATAATTTGCCAGCGAACCAAGTTCGCCAGCCAGAAAGAAACGAATAATGAAAGGAGAAAAGTACATATGTACAACAGTAGGAAATTTATTGTTAAAGAAAATATATTTTGGGCTGCAATTATCACAAATATGAATTTTTATTAAGTACTAAAAGGGTTGTATTATTGCAGCCCTTGCGGATGAGCCGACACTGATGTGCGCACTATACTGGATAGAGTTGGATAAAGCCTTAGCAGACTGAAATTATATACAACGAAAGCTGTAGAGAAAGCCCAGAAATCATAACTAATTAAAGCAAAAACAATTACATCGCAATGAAATAATCAGAACAAACACTAATTAAATGAAGTTTAATATATAATTGTACTAACCAGACAACTATTTCCTAGTTTCATTTATATAAAATTAGTATGAAATTCCTTTCCTGGATAGTATTATATTTTGCTATCATGTTTGTAAGAACATATAAATATATTAAATTATCTTTGGTCTCATATTGAATCACTGTTGATTGGAATGATTTTCGAAGCGCAAATAATTACGAGAACTAAATTATTCAAGAGCAGACGTGCTCCCAATTAATTCGTATTCGAATTATTAATATTCTCTCTGTGGATTTATTTTAATTTCGATTTTTCATCGAAACCACATTCATCCATCTATAACAATATCATTATTATATAATATCCCAATTTTGGTATATTCATATTTAAAAAAACAAAATGTACGTTCGTACGAACATCGAGTACGTTCATGTGTACGAAAAAACACTGATGTAATTGAGAGACAATTTTTATAATGCAGCAATTTTGAATTAAACACATTTTTGTATAAACTTATTGGATGACGAAGTGTACGTTCGTACGAACATCGTGTTTTGTAATACAGCAATACCGCCGTACAGTACTAAATAATAATAAAACAAAATTAATAATACAACAAAACATGTTATTTTAAAGTCCTCGATTAGTCCGGTTTTAAACAAATTACGGCAATAACCTCGTATTGTTATACATATATAGTTACATAATATTATTTATATGATTTTTTTTAAATAATTTGCTAAATATGCAAGTATTTGTATACTATGTGTTTTTAAGTGTAAATTAATTAAGGTAATAATTGAACTGAATTAGTATTTACAGGTATTACATAAACCTATTAAATATTTTAATAACCATACGTTTTAGCACTTTACTTTGTGAAAGTAAAGTTTACTATATGCACATGTTTCGCAATATATAATTTGAAGTTATTTCAAAAATTTACAGTTTTTTTTTATATAATTTTTTAATTCATTCGACCAAATCTTTAATTGCAACGCTTGATTGATTAACAAGTATTTAAATAAAATGCAATAACGTGACTGAAATACACGATCATTTAAAATGTAAAACCATTGTACGTTAGTACGAATGTATGTACGTAAGTTTGAGTGTACGTTCATTGTATAATAGTTGAATCCTTGAAATTACAGGAGAAATTCAATGACCAAATATTCGGATTTATTAACAAATAAAAAAAAATTGTTGTACGGTTCATAGAACATCCATTGTAAGCATACACTGCATAATTGAATTACCATAAATAATTCATGAAACTGATATAAACTATGCAAAAAAAAAAATTTAAAAAAATAATACGTCCATCACAGTTTGCGCTATTTGCGAGCGTTCCATTGTTAAATCAAATATTAATCAAATCCTTTCATTAATACCATTAAATTAACAACTTGTCAGTTTTTATTCAATTATTACCAAAAAAAAACTTAACATTATATAAAATAATTAATATTTAAATGAAAATCATTAAATTTCTCTTGTAGTGAATTGTTTCTAAACAAGATGATCTTATTAACAAGACTAATTTAAAGAAATCGCTGAGAACTGTTTAACGATAAAGACCTTGTATACTTTTATCGTAACGAGATGCTCGATTCAAAGAAATATGATGATATATACATTTTTAACTGATAAATAAGATGAGAGAATGTATTCCCAAGATATAAAGGTTATACGTTTCAAGTTAGCAGAGGAAACGGAAATACAGGCGACTTTCCTGTGGGCGGAAACTAAATTGGTAAGAAGAGATGAGCCTATTGATGTAAAGCGCAACTTTTCTTTTTGAAGATTATTTCAGAGAGCTCAACGATGACCGGAAGACGAGTAATACGATGGCGTTTCCTCCGAACATCTTTATTATTTATACAGTATGTTAGATAATATTAAAGAAAGATTTTTGATTTTTTTTTCACTAAAATAAAAATGGTTAATACCCCTGTTTGAAACCGGAACTAAAAAAACGCACGAAAAGAAACTTGTCTGTAAAGAATAAAAAAGATCATCATTCGTCTGATTTGAGAAGAAAGTAAAAATAAATTTAAAAAAAAAATGTACCAAAAATTATTATTATATTGGAATGTTGTCCCTTTATGTAGTCAAGTCTCTTTCTGAGTGGTTTATTTTTATGCTGTTGTAAAGTCCTTGATTAATCCGGTTTCAAACAGATTACCCGCACTATGCGAGGACAATCGTAAAATTGTTAAAAAAATAAATTGTATTATTGTACCCGGCTTGATTCTGATTATATAAAATCAATACAATATTTAGTTATTGGAAATGCACAAATCCAATTCCTGCGAAATTGCAACTGAGCATTAGTTGTATTCTCGGAATGAAACGAATTCATGATAATTAGAATTGGGTATTTAAGCAGCACGTAGTGTGTGCTGCTCACGTTATATTTACCAATTTCCAGTTTACCGGAATTACATAAAAACGACGTGCGTTCGATGGAAAAGATGTCGGAGAAAGGTGCAATTGTACATTTTTTGGACGTGATCAGCTACACTTCCGTGATCACTCGACTTCTCTAAAAATTACAACCGTAACGGACACCATTGCCATCCCCATTAAACTCCCCTAAATCCATTTGACAAAGTTATGTAACGGAACCGGACGTACATGAATCAGCGGTTTTTTTTGGTTTGTCTGTGATGATCGTGCTGTAACCATTTGTACTATTTCAAATAGGTATTGCAACAAAATGTAGAATCGAAGGACACTTGCTGAAACAGTTGCAATACTGGAAATACTTAATTATCTAAGAAACTAGTACAATTCTAAATAAAATCATTATATAATCAATGTTCAGTTAACGTACATAAATTGCCGTTCGCTAATTGAATAACTTCTTTGTTCACTCAAACGTACATTGTTTTTATGCCTTTTTAAATAATCTGTCGATTTGTTTTGAAATATAATAATATATGAATACATATTATAAGAAGTATTTAAAATTTTACCTCAAAAAAATTCAATCATTTTAATGATCTTTGTTAGACTGAAAACTCTATTATGAATATA